TATATGTGTAGGCATATAACCAAATGAGACTTTTTGGAAAATAGCATTTACTGTATATTATACTTTTATTAAACTTTTATAATGAATATACACACTCAGAAGTTTACTAAAAGTATAATATACAGTAAATGCTATTTTCCAAAAAGTCTCATTTGGTTATATGTCTACACATATATAAAGTTAATAAGATTTATAATCATTTTGTTATTGCAATTATTGCACATATTATTAGATAATCAGTATCAAAACAAATCTTCTGACGTTTGTGCAAATGATTCAATGAATTGTATTCAAAATGAGATAACACTTACTTTGACAATATTTATTTAGTGAATCATTAAATCTCATGATATGACTAATTATTTACCAGGGACATACATTTTTATTACAATAAGTACTGTAATTAAAAAGGTACTAAAATGATATAAAATTATGTGTACCAATGTACTAGTTATATTCTTATTATAAAATTCTGTAAGATTATATAAATAAAAATTTATTTCTTACAGATAATTGATTAAATTGATAAATTATTAGATTCTTGATAAGTATAAATGTTTTTAATTTTTTGAAATTTACTCTAGCATAGAAATTTACTTAATTTCACAAAAAAAACTACAGAATAATTGTACAGAAGCTATATTAATAGACTTAAAAATTTAATAATTAATAGTTAGTTGAGTTACATTTGATTTTTAGAAATAGTTATAAAGAGTATTAATTAAATTTTATCAAATTATAATAATTATAAAATCTAAATCAAAAGTATTACAATAATAAAAAAGAAATTTAATAAGCGCTGTAATCATGTTTAAACCAAAACTAATAGCCTGTAATCCAATAAATAATATTCAGGCACTATTCAGTCCATTTGAATTTGCATTCAATATCAGTGCAGATGTAATACAACTTCATGTCATCGTCGGACTGTCTGAGCGACCCCTGCATGAAGACGGCTTCCTTACGCTTGCATTTGGGACAGGGATGCTGTGAAGTGCGGGCCAGAGTCGGGTCGGCAATCATATCCGCATTAATGTGCGCCAATTCACTGATAACGTCACATAGTATACAGATATTTGTAAAACAATAGCTATATTACAATTAAATGATCATTACTTGATGTCATGCTTAATATTATTGAGATAAACACAGTTTTGGTTAACATTTGCCTCCCTCTCGAATAGACACGTCCGACACTAATCACATTCAATATATATTTTACATATTTATTATATATTTATATTTTTATATATATATTTTATATATTTTACTTTCAGACTCGTATTTAATTAGATTATATTTAAGTTTATATTTACGATATAGGTTAGACGTTTGAGTTGTTTGTTTTGACGTGGGTACAATATGTTATTGCTGTGAATGAAGTGATAAATAGCAAATTTAGACAATTGTAAAATTAAAATCAATGAATAGATACCATTCCGGACAGAAGGTTAGGACAACGTTTATGCATCCCTCCATTGAATTAATTGAAGTCATTTTGCCCTCTAATTGGACTCAAAGCACTTGCACTCTATTATTAGTATTATTTATATATTAATGATTTAAAAGTAAAATAATTAAGAAATTAAATAAAGATCATTGAAAAGGGGAATATATTTTACAGTTATAGTCAACAAATTACCTGTATTCAATTGTTGTATTCACACAGATTTCACTTATTTCTTTGTACTGTATATTAATAGCTTATAAATGTAGTAAAGGTAAATAATATTATGTACTCTACTGTACTGTATTAATGAATGAGAGTTTTAATTAATAGTTAAAAATGGTTAACACTTGTCTATGATGTTTAATAATCACTAGTCCTTTAGACTTTCATCACATCGATCTCATGCTTATTAAGACTATAACTTTTCCATGTTTTACATGTTTTGGAGATTTTTCTTTCATTGCAACTATTTTCACATTTAGTTTTATCTCAATCACTCAAATCTTGTAAAATTTTAACATTTAAAGTAAGAAAGATATTATTGAACATTAAAGACTTAATCAGTAATTAATAATTCAGAATGATTATTGAGATTCTCTCAATAAAATTGTCCATTTCCTATGAATATTATAATTTATAAATGACTACCACATATGAATGTATATGTTATTAAAAGATTTGCACTAATCGTCTACATTATCACAAATATCTCTGATATTCAGTTTTATTTGAAAACATTTACTATAATAAGCACTTGTATTTGAAATTTGAAATTCGTTTGTCAGTGTATTTTACACAGTATTTCATTAATTATATATCGAGTGAATCGTTGTATTATTTAATCAGAAGCTAAAAAAATGTCTAAAATTAAGAGTTTGATCCTTAAATTTGAAGAAATCAACCAAAATGAAAGCTATATGAAGCCCAAAGAAGTGGACAAACAATTGGATGAGTCGCCTACAGGCGACATAACTCTACCTAATCGTGAATTAAATGAAATTTATAATCAAACTAATGATAGCAAAGAGTTTATTAAAAGAAAGGGTAAAACGAACTCAATTTCTAAAGGACCTGTCTCTAAGAAAGTGTCATTTAAAGTCGTCAATGATAAGAGTACTACTGATGGCAAGTCTATTCAGCAAATGATCAACACTTATATCAATGGTTTGGCGGACAGAGCCATGAAAGACA